GAATGTATAATTATATAAGCTGGCTGTTCAATGGGAAGTGATGAGTTTTTCAGTTCCCTCTCCCAGCAAGTTTCCTCGTCTAACCTACTGTGACGCTGCCTCTGAAGCCGTGCAGCTTCCCAGTGTCACAGGGAACAGGAGTCGCATGAGGGGGGCAACTTTCCGACAGCTGCTGCCTCTGAACCTCAGCCAGGGGTCAAAATATCACGGTCTGCAAACTGTTCTGCTTTAGCATTGGCATACTGTATTAGTATTAATGCTATTTCGTACACGTCTAAAAGAAAATGAAACGGCAGACAAGGATACGTAAAGTTAGAGAATAGCTGGGTGCTACATCTGAGCTGTGGCTCAGGTGGGTAGAGCCGGTTGTCGGTTCGATCCCCTGCCCCTCCACAGGCGAAGTGTCCTTGGGCAAGACACTAAACCCGAAGTTGCTCCCAATGGCAGGCAGCACCTTGCATGGCAGCTCCGTCACCATCGGTGTATGAATGTGTGTGTGAATGGCTGAATGAGAAACACATTGTAAAGTGCTTTGGATAAAAGCACTACATAAGTACAGACATCTGACGTTGCTGCTGATTGTAAGAAATGTTTCTGTTTTTCTCTCCTGGCAACAATTGAGTTGGTCATGGTGACTATTTGACACTGTTGCCATGCTTTTGTCTTGTTGATTCCTGACCAGTGCCACCCAGTTATGACAGACAAGTGCTGCTTCTTCCTCTTTTTAACTATTTCAGTCAACATGTTCAGCCCTCTGACTGTACAATGGGATGGAAACATGCTGTTCAGGCAGGGCGGCAAAACCAGATGTATGACAACACAATAAGTAAAGTGAAGAGAAAGAGTAAATGTCTTCGCTTTAAGTTGTTGTTTCCAATTAGAAACCCAACCATTATATTCTTTATTACAAAAAGAATATATATATATGTATATTTTTTTTAAATGCATTAAATTTAGTGCTGCAGCTCGTGATTATTCTCATGACTGTACAATCCTCTCAATTCACAGTTATTTTTATTTCCCCTGTCCAACAGTTATTAACCACTGTTTTGTTGCCAACGTAGGTAACATAACTGACAGTTTGTTCAGACACTGTTCAGACAAATTAGAATAGCTGTTGTGACTAATTGGTCATTATCTGGCTACCAGGAAAAATCAGAAAACCAAAAAATAGATACCTTATCAGAAAATTCTAAATAACTAAAATTGAATGCTGATTGATGGTTTAATGGACTCTAATTTGTGATTTCAGCTCTATTGAAATGTTAACTAGTGACTCCAGCCACCTATGGTTCATCAGACTTTATAAAAGGAACTGAGACTCCAGTGTCTCCCTAATGATACTCCTCCAACAGGCCAACAGTAAAACACCATGGGATTGCCCATTTCTACAGCTGAACTGTTTCAATTGGACCACACTTTACCCGAGTGTGTCAAAGGTCAAGGGTTGCAATAAAAGAGCTGACATGGAAGAGGTTAAAGTGCGAGCAGAAGATGCTAACACTCTTCAGCAGCCACTGTACAATGTGCCAGGTCAGCCTCCCTCTCAGGAGGGTTTAGCACGATAATCTCTGGATGCTAAATCCTGAGAGGTTCAGCCTTTCGCAGGATGGGATGTTTTCATGAGATATTGAGAGTGACACTGTGAGTGTGTGTGTGTGTGTGTGTGTGTGTGTGTGTGTGTGTGTGTGTGTGTGTGTGTGTGTGTGTGTGTGTGTGTGAATGCATGCACTCTCACAATCTAGAGCTCCAAGCAGGACATACGAGTACTTAATATGAGTACTTTTACCCCTATCCTCCTGTCAGTACTCCGGGACAGCCATGGATAGTCAGAGTGAGGTTGTGAGTGTGCAGGTCATTAAAGTAGGTCACTTCTTTGACTTATATCCAACCTTATGGGTGTTTGTGCAAAAATAGAGGTATAAATACATAGCCAGGATTTAGTTCTATGTAAAATGTTCCTACATGACATAAAATCTGTGAGTTTCATCTCTAGTTTATATAGATTACTGCCCATTCTAGTCTTTGAGGCTACATAACAGTTGTCAAACAGAACCTTCTGAGCTTTTTAAAAGTTAAACAAATTTCCCATAAAAGCTAAAGCTGAAACAATTGGTAACAATTTTGATAATAATTGTTTAAATCAGTAGTTTCAGCTTTTAACTGCAAGCATCTGATGTCTTGTTGTGTGTAACTGTAAACTGAAATGATCTGGAGATGCCACTTAAAGTTTAAGGAATTGTGACAAGATTTCTTTTACTACTTTCTTCTTGATTTTAATGTAAAAGCTGCACAACTTAATGGAGATACTACAGCAGTTAAATTCCTCCATTGACTTTTACAGCCTTCATTGCGCAGCATATTATTGACGATGTTATAAACAGATGAGATCATAAGGGTAGGCTGTTAAAAGCTTGTGTTTTCAGAAGAGCAGGCTGATTAGGATCCTGCAGCGGAAGAAACGCAATCTGATGTTTGGCTGTTTAATACCCAGCCCTTATCAGGGAGAGCCTTGACCAATTTTTATAGGTTACACCAACACACATAGACAGACATGTACAGCCATACAGCTGTGCAAAGACACAACTAGAAGCAATGGCACAAATGTACACACTTGGGCAAATGAAATGAGGCAATAAACTAAAACAACCTGATGTGTTTCTGCACTTTCGCCCAGGGCTAAATTAGAAAAATACGAACAATTCTCTTAGACTGTGACCACAGTAAAGCAGCTTTATCTGAAAATGCTCCTCACATTTGAAAATAAAGGTTGTCCACATCAGTTGTTATTTCCTAAAGATATGTTCATAATGAAACACTATAACAGGAAAGCAGCTGACTCTTCATCTCGGTCCTCTTTTACGTGAGAAAACAGTAAAAGTGTCCATTAAACCTGACATCTGGCAAAGAGTGAGACAAACAACATTGTTAAACGGGCTTAATATTCTCACAAACTACTTGTTGGCTGGTCGGACAGTGTCAGAAAATCAGTCCTCCTCACCTTACGGACGTTAGTGTGCGTGTGGTCATTCCTGTAATGTTCCAGAACTGATAATCTGACATTCACATTCACGCTGTTATTAGTTAGTTGTAGGAGCGCTAAAGTCTCCCTGCGTAGAGCGTCAGCAAATGTGCCCCGTTATCCTCGCTTATAAACACCATCACGTCTCTCTCTTGTCAAAAAAACAGCTGGCTTTTCACTTTCCCTTCCCTCATGACTGTTCTGATTAACTATAAACACTTCTGCTTGCCGACGTGGTCAGACAACATGTCTTACAAATTACTTCTGAGAGACCACAAACCAGCCGTTGTTCTGCTGAGTCTTAGTTGGTCAAATGTCTGATTAGTGCGCTTATTCTCTCTGTGATCGTCTGTGCTGGGGCTTAATACGGCCAAACTCTACACTCAGCCGTTCTGATTTAAATATTTTTTCTATTTCTGCTCTCTGTTTCAGACACCTGAATGAGAATTAAATACAGATTTGATAACAGTATAGTAGCTGTTAATCATGAGCAGTATTTCCTTTGCTGCTGCTGCTGCTGCTGCTGCACTGACACATTAATCGCCTCACTTTTTTATGATCATATAGTCATATGACAAAATGTAATGACAGGACGATGTAAGTAGCTCTGCTGACATTGGAAATGAATGATTACAAAGTGGGTAAGAGGTGACAGAGCTGGCACGGACCACATGACTGTATCTGGGCAGGTTTACGTCAGAGTTTTCCAAAGACTCTATGCTGCCCGTCCACACTGAAATTCAAAGCCAGCGTTTTAAGGTTTATCCACTCAGAAAGTTGCTTTAGGAAAGTGGTAAAAAACTGTGGACAGATGACAAAATAGAGGGAAAAACATGCCTTTTTAGGGATTCAGCTAGTTTAGAGTTGAGATGCTAATCCTTTTCGCGCATATTTACATTCACATCCAGGAACACTCTTTTCAAAATGCAGGCTTCTTGACTAGGCTAAGCCATGTATACAGTTTATATATATATATAT